TATGAAAGGTGCATTGGAAGCAAATATTGGACTCTCATGAAGTGAAACATGCTGGTCAGTAAACAAAATTCTTTCAGCAAAGCTCTCCCACAGAAATGCATCGTCTCTTCTCAGCAGTCAAACTCAGGGAAGACTGAGCTAATCTAACACCACAAGCTATGCTGACCACATCACACAGAGTCTTTGTCCACTGAAGAAGGAAGGGTGGCTAAATAATGGAGCATGCAAAAAACTCCCACCTAAAATCACAATATTGCCTGCTTTCTGTAAGCCTGGGAATTCAAGCAAAGAGAATTCAAGTAGAATTCTGCAATTTGATATGAAGTCTATTTTCCCAGGAAAAGGTGGTATCAAACTTCTCTCAATATTTGACTTTAAACATTTATCTCAGGATTTGCTAGATAGTAGTTGAAGGACAAACCAGTACAACTATATTTTCAAGCAAGAAGAGCCTACCTAATTGTGGTATCTCTGACAAAATCCCAGCTTCACTGGGCTTTTTACTGTCCAAGCCCATAAAAAAATATACAGTCCTTGTCCTAAAAGTCACTTGATTTTCTTTCTTTCTGTTTCATGACTCCCTTCCACTGCCTTATCTCTATAAACCTTGTTAGCTACAAAGAGTATTATAAATGCTCCTTTCTTCTTTCCCACTTGCAAATACTAGCTTGTATTAGTCTTCATAAACCTAAGACCATCAGTCAAATAACTTACTTTTATCAGCAAAATCTAGACCTTCAAGATAGTCATGTACTCCAGTTAGAATCTGATGGTCAAACGTTTGCTAGGAACCTCTTGTTGCACAGTGCAAATTTTATTGCTGTGCATTTTGCTCAAGGAGAGAAGTGTTCACATATTTGAAAGAATTTCAATAGCAATAATTCTTTCAAATGAAATGTGCTAGATACAAGATAACAGCGAAAAGGTCTTACGTGACAGCTTTTGGTATATGATACAGAAGTTAAGAACTACTTGAATTTTACACATGTAAATATGAATTAAGCCCTTAATAAAAAACACAGGTGTAGTAAAAAAACCTCACCATGTTGCAAAGATAAACTTTTTTCATTTATGAAATGAAAGATAATAAAAGCCATGGTAATGCCATAACCAGATATGAAATAAATGCGAAAAAAATCATGAAGAAACAGTGAAGATTACAGTAGTTACTGCTTCTTGTGACTAGAGCCATCTTGCATAATAGGAAAGTCCTTCATAGACAGATAAACCTTCCCTCTCTACAAGAAAAAAGCAATTATGGAAATTAATGAAAGTGGTTAGTTCACAGTTTTCAAGGACTTCACAATCACCTCACTCTGATGCAGATGAAGCGTCAGAACGTATCAGAGCAATCTGGTTTGTACTCATCTGGTTCAAGGTGAGGTTTCTAACAGATTAAATGTTATGTGAGCGCTCCTTATCTGATCAATATTATTTTAATCTTCAACAATCTAGATAACAATCTAGTCCATGTATGTTATGGGCAAATTAAGCATGATGGTAAAATACAGTCAAGCAACAAAAAACCTACATAGATTTCTATCTGTGACATAGGCCAATCTGTCAAAACAGCCTTGCAAGAAGGATGTACCATATCTGCAGCTAACTGAACATATGAAACCAAAATATAAAATTCACATCAATACCAAAATACTAACTATCTTATATCACCAGTGTTATCAGCCTACTGTGCAAGAAAAGGAACAGTACACCAGCAGCCTCATTGCACATATTTATCAAAAGTTTTTCCCACTTAACTGTATGTATATGCATATGTATATGTATATAATATGCATATAATATGTATATAATATATAATGCATATGTATATGTATATAATATGCATATAATATGTATATAATAT